GTTTCCCAAGTAGGTGAGCCATTTTTTATCTTTTATACCTTGTAGGTATAAAGGTATAAAAGGTATAAAGGTATAAAGAAAAGTCTATATATAGATATATCTAATATATGAATATTTACCATTGTGTTACAACTGCTTACAGTGTTCAGTATAGTAACATGTTGTATAGTCTGTAGACTAGGAATAACAGGCGTGTGTAGTAGGGCTATCCTATCTAGGCATGTGTAAGTACACTCTATGATGTTTGCTTAATGACAAAATCATGTAATACCACAATGCTCAAAATGTATCCCCATTATAAAGTGATCCATGACTGTATTTATCTTTAGAGTATAAACCAGATTCCACTATTTATTTTATGTCCTCATAAACAAAGGAAACACTAAACTACAGTCAGAAAAAAAAAAAGATTTTTAAAAAAAAGTTTTGAGACAAAGTCTTACTCTTTGACCCTGTGTACAGGGCCATGGTGTCATCGTAGGTCACAGCAACCTCAAACTCTTGGGCTTGAGCAATCCTCAGCCTCCCGAGTAGCTGGGACAATGAGGAGGCATCATTTCTCTAATGTTGTAGCAGAGTGAAGGGGAGAAAGAAAGAGGCACACAGGAATGTAGGGACAAACTTACCTGGTTTAAATGGGAAGGTGATCCCATCACCAGAACTATCGGTGGAGCCTGAATTAGCATCTATTCCTTCACCCTCAGAAACACTCTCAGCACCATTACGTATAGGCTCAGCTTCTTCTCCGTTTTCTTCCACAGTTTTTACTTTATTTATGTCAGAGGGGTGTCTTTCAGGATGAAACCCTTGGCTCATTTTATCTTGTTCAGGCTCAAGTACTCTGTCAATTGAAAGGTCCTCTTCAACTTTAGGCTAAATAGTAAGTGGACAAAGAGGTTACCTTTTTTTCACATGTGTAAACATAAAGACCTATACCTCCTCCTCAAAAAGGATAGGAATGTCTGTGTTCAGCATATGATACTAGAATGGTAGTTTTTAACATTTTTTCATGTCAGTACCTTGGATTAGGCACACAATTCAAACAGCTATTGATGTGCTTTAACATGAGACTGATAATATCCAAATATACCAAAGGTTAGCACAGAAAGAACTGTTAATCCTTGGAACTTGACAGTCATGAAAGAGTCAGAGTCAGAAATCTAAAACAAGCACTCCCACTGTTGCCATGAAAGCTCAGCAAATATATAAAGAAACATTAGAAGGGTTTTTGTATTGTCCTCTGGCTATGAAATGGAGAGTTCAGTGAATAGCTTAAAAGCATGAGTTAATTCTTATAAAGACAATATCTCATCTTAAGAGGCCACTTGCTAGTTAAAATCTTTTTTTTTGAGACAGAGTCTCAAGCTATCACTCTGGGTAGAGTGCTGTGGTGTCACAGCTCACAGCAACCTCCAGCTCTTGGGCTTAGGCGAGTCTCTTGCCTCAGCCTCCCAAGTAGCTGGGACTACAGGTGCCTGCCACTATGCGTGGCTACTTTTTTGGTGCAGTTGTCATTATTGCTTTAGCTGGCCTGGGCCGGGTTCAAACCCGCCAACCTCAGTGTATGTGGCTGGCACCCTACCCACTGAGCTATGGGCACTACCTTAAAATCTATTTTGTTTATTGGTTTGTAGACTTCTCTGAGGCTGTGACCTTACATATATTGAAAAATCTTACCATACCGGCCAGGCCTAATGGCTCATGCCTGTAATCCTAGCACTCTGGGAGACTGAGGCAGGTGGATTGCCTGAGCTCACAAGTTCAAAACCAGCCTGAGCAAAAACGAGACTCTGTCTCTATGAAAAATAGAAAAACTGAGCCAAGAGAATTGTTTGAGCCCAAGTTGGAGGTTGCTGTGAGCTATAATGCCACAGTACTCTACCCAGGGTGACAGTTTGAGACTCTGTCTCCAAAAAAGAAAAAAAAATCTTATCATATCCCCAAATTTCTCAGAACATAGATACTATGGGAGAAATACGTATTCAATCTTGAAAAGGCAGGGAAAAAAACCAACAACAAAAGATTTTTTTTTGGAGAAGGGCTGCATTTTGTCGTCCTTAATAGAGTCCCTGGCATCACAGCTCACAGGAAACTCAAACTCTCGGGCTCAAGTGATTCTCTTGCCTCAGCCTTCCAAATAGCTGAGAATATAGGTGCCCGCCACCACGCTCAGCAATTTTTAGAGATGGGGTCTCACTCAGGCTGGTCTCAAACTCCTGAGCTCAAGCAATCCACCTGCCTTGGCCTCCCAGAGTGCTAGCTAGGAATATAGGCTTCGGCCACTGTGCCTAACCTATCTAAATTATTTTTAACTATCTCAGTATCAGATACCAAACTAAAATGGCTTTCTAAGCCCCCTCTGAATCACCAAAACACTGTTCATTTTCATGAAGTGTAAGCATCGTGAAAAGAATCCTTTGGTACAAGCACTAAAAGGAAGGATGCTTTCTAATTGATAAATTCACACTATAAGAACAAAAAAATACTGGAGTTGCTTCATCTGAGGAATGTATAAAAGAGTGCTACAGACATCAGAAAGTTGTTCACTCCAATTGATATTTGCAATTATGTTTTAAAGAAAATTTGGCAAATGCTAACTCTCTCAGAGTTTTACTTTGTCACCCTTGGAGAGTGCCATGGTGTCATAATTCACAGCAACCTCAAACTCTTGGGCTCAAGCAATCCTCTTGGCTTAGCCTCTAGGGTAGTTGGGACTACAGGCACTCTGCCACAATGCCTGGCTAGTTTTAGAGATGGGGGTTTGGCGAGGGTGGGGTGGAGTGGCGAGTTCCCTATTGCTCAGGCTGGTCTCTAACTCCTGAGACCTGAACCGCCTCGGCCTTCCAGAATGCTAGGATTACAGGACTGAGCCACCATGCCCAGTGCAAATGCTACTTTGTTATTTAAGAAAAGTATTGAAACAGATATAATACTAGTAATTTTTCTTTTACCATACATCAAATTGTGGAGAAAAAACACTAGATTTTAAAATGTTATCAAAAGAAACATATGGTTTTTAGGCCCTGTTTCTATAATGGAAATAGAAAGGTTGTGCAAATATACACACCCACCAGTGAGAAGAGAGTATATAGAAATCCTGAAAAGATATAGAATTCCAAGAAACAAGTCTGAAAATTATTTCTTTAAAACTTTGAGAAAAACAGATCTGCCAAATATGAATCATCAATCAGCAGCCTCACTTTAAAACATTTCATTCTCTACTATAGTCTAATTCATAATAAATTTGTAATACCATCTTGCAATTAAGTATAGGTCATCAAGAAGATCTTTAATAATTCAGAACATATGTAAATGGTACTAAACCTTATTAAAGAGTAGGACAAGTAAATTATACAGAATTCTTATTTTAGAATTTGTAAAATATGAAAACAATTGTATTAGAAAAAAACACATTGTGTCCTTTCTTTTGAACCTAAAATCAACAACAACCTATCATGTAAACAGAGGCCATATTATTTGGAAATTCAAATCTTTATCTTTCTTTTTTTTATTTTTATTTTTGAGAAAGAGCCTCACTCTGTTGCCCAGGCTAGAGTGCCATGGCATCACCTTAGCTCACAGCAACCTCAAACTCCTGGGTTCAAGCAATCCTCTTGCTCCTGACTTCCTAGTAGCTGGACTATAGGTGCCCACCACAATGCCTGGCTAATTTTTCTTTTTTGTTTGTTGAGACAGAGTCTCATTTTGTTGTCTTGGGTAGAGTATTATGGCATCATAGCTCATAGCAACCTTAAAGTCTTAGTTAGGCTGGAGCAATCAGCTTGCCACAACCTCCTAAGTAGCTGGGACTACAAGAACCTACCACAACTCACGACTATTTTTTTTTTTTTTTTAAAGAGACAGGGTCTTGCTCTTCCTCAGGCTAGTCTCCAGCTCCTGAGCTCAAGCAATACACCCAGCTCAGCCTCCCAGAGTGTTAGGATTACAGGTGTGAACCCTCTCACCTGAACTAATTTTTCTATTTTTAATAGAAAGAAGGTCTAGCTCTTGCTCATCGTAATCCCAAAGTACCAAGGAGGAATCCTCCTTGGCCACCCAGAGTGCTAGGATTACAGGTGTGAGCCACCATGCCCAGCCTGGAAATACAATTTGTAACTGGAAAAAGAAATATAAAGAAACTTGTTCCACAAATGACAAACCATAATTGAGAGAACATAGAATCACTGAAGTGTCTTTTTTTGTTTGTTTGTTTGTTTGAGGTTAAGAGTCTCATTCAGTTGCCCTGGGGTTGAGTGCCTTGGCATCATACCTCACGGCTGAATCAACCGGCTCAGGCGATCCTGTTGATTCAGCCTCCCAAGTAGCTGGGACTACAGGGACCTGCCAAGACACCTAGCTAGTTTTTCCTATTTCCAAGATACCTGACACAGGAGTCTCACTCTTGCTCAGGCTGTTCTCAAACTCCTGAGCTCAAGCAATCCCACATCAGCCTCCCAGAGTGCTAGGATTATAGGAGTCAGCCACTGTATCTGGTCTCACTGAGGTGTCTTAAGGTACATTTTTTATAATGAATATTACAGGAAATCAACAAAAATAGCTGAATTAACCCTATTCAACTAATCTGTTAGGTGCCTAAAAGTTCCTAAATGGTTTAATCAGAAAACGAGATTAACAAAAGAACATTTCTGCATGTCAATAAAATACGCTTTTGGAGAGCGGCCATTTTGGATTCTTCTATGCAGTAAGCTCAAAAAAAAACACCAATTGATATATATATACATATATATATATATATATATATGCAAGGTGACTCATGCCTTTAATCCTAGGACTCTAGGAGGCTAAGGTGGGCAGATAACTTGAACTCAGGATTTCCAGATAAGCCTGAGCAAACGTGAGACCCCATTTCTACTAGTCCTAGCAACTCAGATTGCTGACACAAGAGAATCACCTGAACCCAGGAATCTGAGGTTGCTGTGAGCTTGGCTGATGCCATGGCAGTCTAGCCTGGGCAACAGAATGTCTGTCTCAGAAAAAATAAATAAAGAAAAAAACAAGAGAGAGCACCCTATTAGCTAGACAATCAAGGGTGAACATTTTGTAGGAAGCTGTGAAGCTGTTAAGAATTTATTTTTATTTTTTATTTTATTTTATTTTATGACAGAATCTCCCTCTGTCACCCTGGGTAGAGTGCCGTGGCATCAAAGCTCACAGCAACCTCAAACTCTTACATTCAAGTGATTCTCTTGCCTCAGCCTCCCAAGTGTAGCTGAGACTATAGGCACCTGCCACAATGCCCCACCATTTTTAGAGATGGGGTCTTGCTATTACTCAGGACGGTCTCTAACTCCTGAGCTCAAATAATCCACCTGCCTCAGCCTCCCAGAGTGACAGGATTACAAGCGTGAGCGACCTCACCAGGTCCTAGCAGTTAAGAATTTACTTGACAAAATTCTCTGCTTAACATAATGAGCTTTTAAAAGGTACCAGAAAATTAGACTAATAACTATGCATATAATAACTGAGGCAACATCCAAAAATTTAAAAATTTTAAGATGTCTTGACCAGTAATTTTAATATGAGTATAACCCTTCACCCATACTTTTTTAGGTTATAAGTTTATTTATTTATTTTTTTGAGACAACATCTTACTTTGTCACCAGTGGTGTGGCATCATAGCTCAGAGCAACCTCAAACTCTTGGTTGGGCTCAAGTGCTCCTCTTGCCTCAGCCTCCTGAGTAGCTGAGACCATAGGTGCCCACCACATTACCCAGCTAATTTTTTTATTTTTAGTAGAAATGGGGTCTTGCTGTTGCTCAGGCTGGTCTCAATCTCCTGAGCTCAAGCATCAAGCAATCCACCCACCTTGGCCTCATACACTGTTAGAATTATAGGTGTGAACCACAACGCCCAGCTAGGTTATAATTTAAAGCACTTAATATGATTTAACATCCCAATACATAACCCCAAATAGATTGATATCTGAAACAATTGTAGTGGAACCTCCATAGATGGCAACTTCCCTAAGTTAAACTAATTTTTATAGACAGAAAGTAAGGTACATGTACATATCAGTCTAGTAAGCCTAGTTGCTTATGTTGACCACCTCTGTATGTGGACCAGTTTGTTACAGCCCCTTGAGGTTTTACTGTATTTTAAAGGCTGAGAAAATAATCTATGAAAAGGTCAGCTCACAGAGGTTTTACTGTATTTTAAAGGCTGAGAAAATAATCTATGAAAAGGAAAGCTTACTCAATGGAAATGAAGAGAATGGCATCTATAAACTCTAACAAATATTCAATTTTAGGAAAGGCAGGGTCTAGGATTTCTGAAAGTCTGTTGGTAAATGACCAAATATTTTTTATTTTTTTCTTTTCAACTATAAAGTTAAGGAAAAAAATGACTGGTTCAAAAAGATTCAAAACAGTTCTTATCTCTAAATAAATAAGCTATAGCAGGTTTATTACAAATTGCGGTTCCACCGGCCAATTTCAGCTCAACACCTATTGTACAACATGCAAGGTAAAAATTATTTTTACATTTTTAATGGCTGAAAAAAAATTAAAAGAATATTTCATATTCATATGAATTAAAATTTTAGTGTCCAAAGTTTTACTGGAATATTGCCACACAATTTGTTCACCATTGTTGATGGCTTCTTTTAGGCTAGAATGGCGGATTTCAAGAATTGTAACATGGATCATACTGCCCACAAGGCTTCAAATATTTACTTTGTGGACCTTTCCAGAAAAAGTTTGCTGATCCCTAAGCAAAAGAATAGGATAAATACTTGTATGCATGTGAGTGGTAGCCTATCTAATATTTAGTAATGCTTAGAATCTAGCCACAGGGCAAGAGAATATGAAGTATAAAAGGAAAAAATTAAAAGAAAACCAATCTAAAGAGAAACCAGTTTTTGAAGTTCTTACAACCATACCAGGAATTCCCTTGCCTTTGGAAGGTATTTTATTCTTTGTAGGAGCAACATTTTCTTGTTCAGCCGCAAGAAAGAGTGCAGCAACTTATCTATACCTCTATAACTTTACTGCCAATTTTTACCCCTATGTAACCACAATAAAAATCACACCCATGCAACATTTTAGCGGTTGCTATGGGACTAACTGTGACATCAACATAGCATCATGTAAGAGCAAATACAGGACAGGGGGAAGTAACAAAGAGCGCCTGTTAGCTGCTTGAAAAGGGTAAGAATTATAACCAGCAAGAAAAGATTTATTAAGTAAATATGTTTAAAGTTACTTTAAAATAATTTCTACTTTAATATATCCTTAAATCTTTCAATGTAAGTTATTTTAAAAAGGTATATGTAAGAATAGTTAAAGAAAAAAGTTACATATAGATTGTTTATAAAATTCTTCACCTATAGGCTTCAGTACACAATGTTAAGGATGCTAAGATTACAGACTAAGAAACTGTTAGAGCAATTCTTAGGACTATATTTGCTCTCATTTCTTCCTCATGTCATCTCTTGGACTTGATATGTTTTAAAGTACAGGAAAATCTGGTGTGGCTTAAGAAAGACAAACCATATGTTACTGGCATACAGTAACAGATGACAGATTTAAAATATGTTTTCCTAAAATGTACTAGATGACTTCTGACATCATTACTAATGGATATTTTTAAAATACTCTCCATTTTTGTTTACCAGATTAGTCTATCAGGTCAGTACAAAGAAAAATTCAATTACAGGGAGAGAAGGACTAATCATAAGTATGTCAGTTTAGAATAGTTATTTTGAAAGAAAAATAGAATTTAATAAAATTTAAAATGCTATTACTAATCTATAAAGAAATCTAATATAGGCTTGGCACCTGTAACTCAAACACCTAGGGCGCCAG